ATTACTTTCTCTTCCAGTGTTAAATTTCATTAATTTTTAGTGCACTAATCATTTATTGCAGATCAGTATAATTTGGCGCAACGAAAATTTCTTTTAGAAGGACTAATTTGTTTGCAAAATAATCTATCGCGTTTGCATGCACCCTTGTTAGTTGTAAAGGCGAGCGGTAATGAAGAAGCTACAGAAATTATTTTGAAACTATCTGATGTAGCCTGTGAAGTGATCACAGATGCTGCTTATTTACGCGAAGATCGCAATTTTGACGAAAATCTTAACGATAAGCTTGTAATGAAATGTCGCAGATTCACAAAAGTTGAAGGGAATGTCACTATACCTGTGGCGGTTATTGTTTACTTTGCGTCATTTCCTTTAAACATTTAGTTATTACTTTTTCTTTTTCACAGAATTTTAATATTTTTTTTTACGGAACATGATTTTTCCTATAAAATTTGCTAAGAATGAATGAGTACTAGCAGTTTTGAAATTTAAAAAATGACCAAATGAAAAAAAAAGAAAAAAAAAACTTAAAAAAACTTTCAGACCTTATGCAATAAGCCAGCTTACAATGCTAATACAATTCGGAAAGTGGCATGGCATTTCCTTGACGATTTTCTTCTTGAAAAGTGGAATGTTACCCCAAAAATTTACTGTGAATCATGGGAAAGGTACGGAGTAGATTTACTTATTAATCTTTTTTTTTTGCTCGATCGATGTTATACTAAAGCAGAAATAAAATAATTAGACAAATGCTAAACGCTTGTTTTGTTGTACATTAGAGAGCAATGAAAAATTTCCTTTATGCCAACTGATTAATTAATGATCAGAGAAACTGCCTCAAGGAGTTCTGCGTGTCAGAGATTAAATTATTACTATTTTACATGTTTCTTGGTATTTCAGTATAGTAGAATATAACTTGGAATGTATGGACATCTCGTCGGAGTGTACGAGAGCTTACAATGACTGTAGAACAAGCAATGTGTTGAAAGGTGGAGAAGATGCTGCGCTGGAAGTCTTAGACTATTTCATTGTTAATAATTTAAGCACATATGATGAAGAAAGGTTTGTTTCTTTTTCCTTTTTTTCCCACTATCAATTTTATTTTTTTCTTTCATTTGTTTGATTTTTTGACTACACAAAATTTCTCTGTTAGGAATATCCCGAACAGTGGAAAGCAGAGTCTTCTTTCACCTTACATCCACTTTGGCATGTTGAATCCAATTATTATTGTTGTTAAAGTCAAACAGTCCGAAGCACCAAAATCTGCCAAAGGTAATTTTTCCGTAGAAATGAGTCATCTTAGCAAATGAAGCATATGTATGATAAAGAAAAGTGTGTTCTTTTGTTATTGGCAGAATTTTATGAATATTCTAGAGTTTAATGACTGGGTAAATTTATAGTATAATGGCACTTTCATCTAGTAAAGTTTCATATTATGCACTTCAGATGCATTTTTGGAAGAACTGGTTGTTCGGCGGGAGCTAGCGCATAATTTTGTTTACTACTACAGAGACACCTACGATACAGTATGATTTAGTTTGGGATGAAAAGAATTTTTAGTTGATAATGGCAGACTCACTTATCAGCTGCATGGGAAATCATATTCATTACATTTTATTTTAGTTTGATTGTTTACCTGAGTGGGCAAAGAAAGCGATGGATGAACATCGTCATGATAAACGGGAATATATTTATAGTTACAAAGAGCTAGAAGAAGGTTGTACGCATGATGTTTATTGGAATGCAGCACAATTTGAACTTGTTTTCACTCATAAAGTATCAAGCTTCTTTTTCAATTGTATTTGCAATGATAATTTAATCGCGAAATCTTTTGTCTGACTGCTGTGAATCATTGTTTCAGAATTTGTTATTTTCTGTTCATTTCATCTTCTGCAAAATTAAGTAAAATTGCACTGCCTATGAATTACTTCTCTTTTAACAGATGTCGGGTTATCTTCGTATGTATTGGGCGAAAAAAGTAATCGAATGGTCTCACGATTATGAATTCGCTTACGCTTTTCTTATTGAACAAAATGACAAATATGAATTAGATGGACGAGATCCCAATGGCTATTGTGGTGTTATGTGGAATTTTGGAATGCATGATCGAGCTCATGCGGTTCGTACCTAATTCTTTACAATTGTAAACATAATTCCATGTTGATGTTACTATTGAAAAAAGGAGAAGTGTATGAATTCAAATGTACTCCAATATTTATATTAGAATCTCTTGTTGAATTGATATCTCTTCAGAACAGACCAGTGTTTGGGAAGATACGTTATATGTGTGCGGATGGATTACGAAGGAAGTTCCGAAATCATATTGATGAGTATGTTAATATCAATTACAGACGTGCAGGTCGTACGTTAGAGCTAAATAATCAGGATCAAACAAAAACGACGAAAGCTTCACAAGATCTTGAGCCAAAAATAAAGAAAATATGTATAACTATGACGAAATAATTAAAAAATTCTCTTAAAAGATGTTCATTTATTCAAGATCATACTTATCATCATTATACAAGTTTATTTTTTGAGTTTAACAGAATTATTGCTACAGATAACATGTTTAACCATATCATAAATACATTGTTTATAATTCATTTGCTCAATAATATATATATCTCATTATGTTAACTTTTTATGGTCATTTATGATTACTCATCTCTCATTATTCAATGATGTGTTTTGATTTTCATTCTTTGTTATCTAAGTTTCGATAGTGTACAATTCAGTTTTCTGCATTTTTTTTTTCTCCTTATTATAAATAATTTTTCTTTGTACTATCTCACATTTCCTTTTACAGCATATTTTTTTTCTGATTTTTACACTTTTTTTTAGTTGATTTAAGGAATAAAAATATAATTCATTGTTAGTACATTCAAAGCGAGTTGCTTATGTTCACTTTATTTCCACTAAATGTTCATTCCATAGTTCATTTTTCTAAGGTTTTATGTGCAGTTGAAAATGATCCATACGGAAATCTTGTTACGACTTTTGCCGGTTTCAATTCAGTATGATTGAAACATTTATGTCATTAAATCTCTGTTCTAAAAATTATTAAAGCAATCCTGGCTGTTCATTCCATAGTTAGTGATCAGTTTCTAAGAATTTCTTTATGAATAGATGTTGAAAATGATTTTGAGTTTGAGATTTGAAAAAAAGTGATTTTCTAAGATCTTATATGTGATGTATGGTTTATTTTAAAATGGAATTGTTAGCTTCCATTTCCTTATCATATAATTAATACTGAATGTGAACTGGCTATCTTTGAGAAATTTAGATAAATGATATTTTATTTTGAGTTATGTCTGAACATCATCGTAAACCACATGCTATGAATACTGACGGGTCACAACGAGTGCCATATCTTAAGCCTAGATCAAGAATAAGCATTTCTTGGGACAGATTACTGTACAATGTTCGTTATATTAGTCAACATTGGAAAGATCGTATATGGGTGAAAGCTGCTGCTGTTATGATTGTTTATACTATTGGGTTCGTTTTCCTTACGTTACTATAGCAGGAGAATTTGAATTTTAATTTGTAGTGCTTTATTTTTTTCGCTTACTTTGAATTTGTTTGGGACAGTTTATTTTTTACACTATTAACTCCTCTTTTTTTATAAAACAAGACGAGACTTAAGCTAATTCTTTTTTTTTTTTTTGAAAAAGATTCTCTTCATTTAGATATTCTGTTCCTTTAAAAATTTCCTGAGAGTTTAGCGTACAAATTTGGAGTGTTCAAAATGACCCAAAAATTGATTATAGATTGTATGCTTTCATTAAAAAATATTATGGCAATGAACATCCACTAAATCGTTATCAATGGAGGCAAATGAAGAGAAATGGCCAATTAAGCGAGGAAATGTTGCGTAAGGAAGAAATTGTTCAAAATTTTATGAAAGCACGATTTAGTAAAGTGTATGAGAAGGAACCCGTTTATTCCGTACGACGGCAAGGTCCTCCCGGAGTGTTGTAAATTTTGGATTCACAAGCAACTCGAGATATATTATTTATCAAAAGTCAAATGAAACTTTAATGAATTTAGTGAATTTGAGGAATGAAATAACCCTTTAATGAATTTAATGGATTTGATAAAAGCACTTAGCTTCAGGAAGAGTTATGTTTACATAATTTTCTTCTTTTATTACATCACGAAATGATGTTTACAGATTAACCTTTGTGCAGATGCAGTTTATAGATCTAACCGTAAATTCTATAAGGCATAGGTTGAATCTTTGATACAATTTGATTCAGAATTCCATTCAATCAATATTCTCTGGCAAACATTAAAACATAGTATTAGAACATGAAGTAGACAATTTCATCCATTCCAGCTAAATGTCTGTAATTCGCACATGTCTATTTTAATAGTGGGAGGAAAGTGCATTTTGTGCGTTATCTATGTAAGCACTGTTTTTAATATTTCGCTAATTGTAACTGCTTTGTATACATTAAATTTGAATGCTATATTGCTCAGCTTAATTTATAGATAGACAATACTAAACAAAATCTTATCAGTTTAATTCATATGCATTTTATGGATTAGGAAATATTTTAATAGGCTTTTCAAATCTTTAAATTACAGGCAGTGCTTGGGATGTTTGCATTGCCTGTAAAGTACACAGTACCTTGAGAGGTGATTTTGGAATACTGTGGATTGGAATTTTCAAGTTTCTATGATTAATTTAATTTCTTTTTCCATAAGAAATTCATTTATTTGTTTTATTTGTTCAATATACCTCCTTTATTTAGTTATCGAAAGTTGAGAATTCAGTGGTCAAATTATTAAGTGTTAGAAATAAATGGATCAAGTTGGAATGAACAAAGCAAAAATAATAGTTGAATTGAGTGAAATGTTTAAATGTTCTGCAGTTTTGGAGTTTGATCTTTAAAAATTTTGTTTTGCATAAAATTGGGATTTCAGTTTATTTTAGTTGCTTATTTTAGTTTCTTAATTCCCACATTTATGAATACCAGAAAATAGCATTATCGAATTCGTCAAGAATCATCTGTAAGCGGTAATCTTCTCGAATAAATATAAGATGAAAAGATATAATTCTCATCAGTTGAAACAGCTTCATTACAGTTACTCTCCAATGCCTTGGATTCATTTTCCACAAAATGAAATCCGGAATTGAAGTAAGACGACATATACTTTGGATGATTGTCGCTGGCACTTCGTCGTCGTGAGAGGGTAGCACATTTCCAAAAATTCCGTCTTCTGAAAATATTCGAAATTTTATCACTAAATCTTCTCTTAAATATATATAATGGGAATTCCGAATTCCGGCAAGTTTCTTCCAATTCAATAAACGCCATAAGTCACGGACACAAATAATATATCCGACGAGATGTTTTGGTGATTATTAGATTAGCAATTCAAATATTCTTTAGGATTTACTTCATTGGTTCTTAATTTCATCAGTTAGTAAGATGATAAACAAAGAAAACCTTGGAGGTGCTGACAAGACTAATTTCTGTTCGATTAATTCATTAGCAGCATTCTGTACGATACTAGATACAATGCCTCGATCGTTCACGTGTTGAACGCGGTTAAAATAAACTGATAGGCCGAGAGGATATCCCTAGAACGAATTTCTCTTAAATTTGCAACAAATACTGTTTATATTTACAAACAGGTAATGGCTATTTTGTAATATATAAAAACTTCTCAACTAATGCATTTCGAACCTCGTTCACTTTTTCTCCCTGCTTGGAATTTGATCTTTTCGTTTTTAATAACTGAGAATGAGCATCTGAAATTTAGGTTCAATCAATTCATTTAATTTAATACATTTACTCACATTCCTACATATATATTAACTTACTACCTATTACATCGCCATATGAAGGTATCTTTCGGATCGACAACGAATTCTTTACAACACTGTGCTGCTTGTACTCAATATCTGCATTATAAAATGACGTTACAAAGCATTCCGCATCTAAAGCAATAGTGTTCTCCTTGTAAATCGTATTGGTCTTTCGATGTTTGTTTGAGAATCAAAATTGAGTAAATCATTAAAATTTATTTATTATACAATTAAATCATTATTTCATTTTTAAAATATGAAGATTAAAACTTCATAACAAATGGTTGAATGTCTGAAAATTACCGAGCTTGGTACAAGTTTGCCTTCTTGAACATCCTCATTTCATTTATTCAAAACAATTTTCTTTACAGCTTTACAGAAAGACATAATTAGATTTAATCATTTTAATATTCCATAATATAAGGAGTTTGACCTATAAGTTTTAGGCCTAACTTTAAAGTTATAGCTATAAAGCACAATTGTTCGGTTACTAAAGTAAAAAAATAAAATCAAAAAAAAGGTTAAATTAAAACACACCAAAATTTTTTAGATCAACCAAAATTTTTTTAGATAATTATAATCGAAAAACATATTACCTAAAAAAGCGTGACTCCCTATAAAGTTATTTATTTTGATTGTTGGTTTCTCGGATTCTCTTTTCTCGAACGTCACTTTTTTCTCTTGAATATGATTTCTTAGTTTTGAGATCTTTTGAACTTCATGAGATTCACATCGGCTTCGGTAATTTTGAGATAATGATTCCTCCTTTCTTAAACCACACAAGTATAAATAGAGTGAATTATAGAGTAAATAATAAAAGATTTGCATTACTAAGATATCGATCTTTACAAAGAGAACTTAATTCCATCTTTAGGATGATTAAGATTAAGATTTACTAGATCACGCGACTTCCAGTAATTGATCTCAAGAAAAAGAAATTCATTATTTCCAAAAAATCGAAAGTGAAAGAATACATTACACAGTACATGGATGAATTTTTCCCACCCAAAAGTTCGAATTGAAAATTTAGAATCGATTAATTTCAAAAAAACATTTGCATGTGATAACTGGAATTTAATTCACTTGAAGAAAGCATCAGCATGATTAGAGATGATTGTGCAACGTCGCCGATCAGATCGCTGTATCTGGCGATGATTACGTGATAGGGACGATGAGCGACGTTTTGTTGACTTATCAAAGTTAGCATTGGAAATATTCATCAAAGCAAAGTAGAAAGCCATCGTTTCCTAGGACTCTTCCCAAAATAACACCAAATTTGAAAAACGGACAAATTTAATGGATTAGTGGGCTGACAAACTTCACTGCTTTCGAGCTATTCCCAAGGGAATACATCATTTCACAGCTCTTTCCCTCCCATAGCTCCTAATCTTCTTTTAAATAACATTGTTCTTTTTAAAGGAACCTTTTAAGCATAACATTCCCCATGTTGATAACTCAACTTTCCTACAATTTAAAACAATAATTAGAGCTATATATTTTGGAAAAAGGACATATTCCAGTCTTTGTGAAAAGAGAAAAAACAGCTAAATCAAGTTCTAAGAAAAGAAAATATTCTAGCAACAGAGACGAATTCTGTTATATATAAGTTAATAGAAGTAAAGTGATATGATACCTTCCACTCTAAAGTTCAGAAAACAACCATCATGTTGTATGTAAATCTGAATGTCCCCTTTATTTCTAATAGATTTGATGTTTACTTTACCTGAATCCATTTTTTTTTTTTTTTAATAATATTCCTGTACTGCATTCTCACGATCATTTATCAAACATTAAAAAAGAGAAAAAAAAACACAAGAATACCGGAATTTAAAGATGAGGTGGTAATAGTGTTATTTCATTACCAGTGAAAGCATTTAGTTATTCATCAATCTTTTAATTAATTGACCATAATATGGACCAAAAGTTTCTCTATTATGATTTACAATGCGTGCAAAACGTGCAGTAAGGGCTGAAAGTTCCACATGTACTACTGATAAACCGGGTGGAAATCGCTGCTGATAGGACGGTACTCGATTTGAGGTAATTGAAAGAATGAAGTTGTGCATCCTGTCACCTACAGCAAAAAAGTTTTAATTGAATGATGAACTCTCAGTCATATGAAAATATAAAGGACAATGGAAATCAGAGATTATTGACAGTATTAAGTTTGGCAAATACAACTGAAATCAAGAATTCAAGAGTAAAATAAATTAGAATGAACTTACGAATAAGTTTCCGGACATGATTTGCATGATCCCTAATTTGCAAAATTTGTTCTCCCAATTCAATGGATTTTTCCTTACTCCAGTTAATGTTTAATGTTTCGCAACACTTTGATATTCTGTTATTACAAAGAACAGATACTGCTTCAAGATGATCCACTATATTACTAAAAAACCTTCAAGTTGTAAAACTGAAATTGAAATTTCGATAAATAAACACCAAACTTCGAAAAAGAAATGAGGACATTAAAATTAACCTTTCAACGATATTATCAGTAATTATAATCACGTCGTTTTTTAAATTTGTTTTGAAATCTTTAATTTGAGCTACGTCCTTTCCAGCAAGATTGCAAGAAACCAGTACACAACTGGTACATATGATTAACTGCAAATATTTCGTAGCTATAGATTCCAGTCGTAAGCGATCGATCTGAAACGCCATCAAACCAAAACATTTACTAAAATAATGAACGAGAGAAACAATCCATTATCCTTTACAGAGTTGAAAGTGCTGACATAATATTTTAAATTTACTAAACTTATGATCAGTTAATTGCTTAATAAAATCGATATTACTAACATTGTTAAATAAATAAATAAATAAATATATATATATATCACCATCTAAAGATTGCTGTAATTTATATTTACTCAAGAAAAATTGGCAAGAAACCAAAAACATTAAATGTAGAATTATAAGAAGGTTTGTGAGAGGATGGTTCAAATGTTATCATTGTTAAGTAAAGTTCTGATGCAGTTTTGTTGTTTTTTCTTCAAACAAACAAACAATTTTGACAATATTCTTTGTCGATCGTTTTATTAATTAATCTGTACTTTTATATATCGGGCTTGATATGATTATGAAGTATAACGTAATTGAAAAGGAATTATTATTTTTTTATTCTAACAAATGGTTCAATTATCACAACTCTAAGAAAATTGATCGATATCATTTGAATAACGAATTGTGTGTAAAGAGGAACGATACCTTGAGGGTTTCAGGGTAGGCATTTTGACAATCCCATTCTAACAATTCCATATACGCACTACTTACTATACCATTTACTTCACTGTTATTCAAGTCCTGCAAAACTAAACTGATGAGTATTCAAAAAAAAAAAAGAAAGAAAGAAAAAAATGGAACTTGCAGAAAGTGAAAAAGAAGAGGAAATCACACAAATGGAAGAGATCAAGTACAAGATTTACTTCAAAACTTTTCTTGCCTGATGGTGCATCTGTACTATTCATACTTATATGTCTATACAACCATTTCATCGTTGACAATTCCAATTCTAAAATCACAAAATTATATCTCTAAGAAAAAGAATGATACACCACTAATCTTTTAAATCCTGTGCGCATACAAAAGTAATGAACAAGAGAAATAAGCATAAATTTCAACAGTACTTTTATCTTTCTGTATCTTTCAGAGAAAAAAAAAAAACTTGGTGAATGCTACGAACCTGGACTTTTGTCCAGTAACTTCATAAATTGCTTTCTTTCATATTCAGCTGAATGCTTTTCAACAGCAGAGCGATTAATTTGTACAAAAAAGTTGGCCATATCCAATTTCATTAAATCCAGAAGTTCACATACACCTCTAAAGGTCCACATATATTTATACTCTGGCATTTGATATCAAGCAAACTTACATTTTAGAAATGAACTTGCCTTAACATATCTACATTATCTGTCTTCTCACGCAAATCATTCACCATTTTGTCTCTTGCCGGTGCACAAAGCCTACTCAAGAGCTCAACAATACTTTCAAATAATTGACGCACATCCAAACACTTATTTTCAGCCTGTTGCTTTAATAAATCAGTATCCAGTACACATTCTATTTCGGAACGCAAACGAACATGGTGTTGTGTCAGCAAATCTAACATCATCTGTAACATAAAATATAAAATACAGCCGAAGAGCAATTAAAAAAATTCACATTTGAAACACGGATTTTTTAAATTGCCACCTTTGAATCAAATAGAACCTTTTTGATAATTTCTGACATAAATAATTATGACCTTAAGATTTATCAAAATATCATGCTATGATTAACAGCATAAATATTACCATTCCGTTTTTTTGCCCTTCATGGAGTACACCTACAGTTGCATATATACATATGGAAATAACCTTTTTGATATCATCAAGCAAAGTCAGGGCGCAAGAGTAATCTGGCGGTATGCGAGTAAGGTCTTCACGTAGTTTATCCCAGTAAGCTTTTTTTATACAATCTTCCACCATTCGCTCTATTTGATTTGCTGGGTTTTTCTCGATAACAAACTCGGGATTAATCGCAATTTCATGTACCAGTGCCATATTTTCCAGTGCTTCTGACATCTTCATCAATTCATCCATACTCACAAATTTCGCTGGTGAAGTACCTGCAAAAAAAATACACTCGATAAAGACATTTGAAAAAGATATATCAAATGATCCTATTCCTTTTCCTTAAAGGTAAGTGTTAAAATGTTATCGCTTTAACTATGACTTGTCCATTATAAGTAGCTCGAAGGATACATTTAGACTTCAATTTTCAGATTTCACAATAAAACAAATTTGAAATCTCTTATTCCACAATCGCTCAAAATGAGAATAATCTCTTATCAGCTTAATTCTCTCCTCTTTAAAATGAAAAAGTTACCATAATAAATACTAAATATCACAGAATAGTCTTACCAGCTACCCACGTTGGTAACTCAGCAGTGCTGGCAGTGGAAATGCTAAGATCGCTTCTTTTTCGCTTAGTAGCAATACTATTTGAACTGGGGACATCCTTTACTAGAACAGCAGCAGATTCTCCTTTCGAGTCTTCATTTGCTGATTTATTTGTTTCAGTTTCTTTCTCTTCATCCTCATTTGACATTCTTCAAGGAATCCTTCGAGAAATTCCTCAAAACACTGATAATTCCAAGCAAAATCTTATTTTTCAAGACGCGGTTCCGCATATATAATTTAAAGAAATTTTACCAGACTTCATACGGATTAAAAGCTGAGAGTCAAATGGAAAACGGAAATCCGAAGAGGAAGGAATAAATTTGAGCAAAAAAAACTATAGAAATGAGACAAACTAAAAGGAAGCATTTGAAAAGACTAACACAGATCTATAGTTGCAAGTCTAATGAAATTAAAATGATTAATACAAAGAAAAGTTACCGTTCCTTAAAGAAACTGTCCACTTGCTAAAATTTCTCCATTTATATTATACAAGAAAAAAAAAACGACAAAACAGTGACAAAGAAAATAAGATCTCTTGGCACAATTACAAATTTAATCACATACGGTTTTCTGTTTGTTTATACTTATTTTGAGTCTTACAAATTTCATAAACTGAAACATTTCTCTTTCAACGAATTTCAAAATTTTCCCCGAGATCCCTCTGTACATTCCCATAAAATTGCGGTGAATACCTAGAATACCTCAGCATTTTTCTAAAAAGCTTCTCAATTTGATGAAATGGGACGCGTTAAAAGTTTGAGAATGAAGTGCTGGATGAGCGTATGGGGTTGGTTTGTGACGTAGGTTTGGGGTGTTTTCAGAAGGTTCGGCAACTGAACTGATTTGATTATCAAAGTGATAAGGAACACTTATCTCTTGAGAAACTGAAGTGAGGCGACTGGTCGCCCCGGCAGTAATGAATTTTGAATTAAGTAGCACGAAACGTACGTTTGTTACATTTCTCACACTTTTTTTGTTTCTTTATTCACGTAGTTTTTTTAAGCATAATCTGTTGACAGTATTACTAACAGTTAAGATGAATTTCAATTGTAACATTCTTTCCACAATTATGGCACATCAGTAGCAAGTTTGTGTTGGCATGAAGCTAACTTGAAACACTAAGTAATCTCGTGTGTGACTATTCATAAGATTACCTCTTATCAAATGAGTTTCCTAATTTAATGTAGTGCAAAGAGAAAAGCACGTAGCATTTTTCTAGTGAATATTTTAAAATATAAGATTCATATAAAGAAAATATAAGATGTTAGTTTTTTTTTTTTTCATTTCTCAATTTTTTT